GCGCGGGCGCCGGACAGCGGGCGCCCGTGTAGTCCGGGCGGCGTGTGGCGGAGGCGGCCTGCTCGGGCGGTCGGCGGGCCGCGGGCTGCGGCGCGATGGCTCCCATGGGCATCCGCCTGTCCCCGCTCGGGGTGGCTGTGTTCTGCCTGCTGGGGCTGGGCGTCCTGTACCATCTCTACTCGGGCTTCCTGGCCGGCCGCTTCAGTCTCTTCGGCCTGGGCAGCGAGGCCGGCGGCGCGGCGGGGCCGGGGGCCGCGGCCGACGGGGCCACGGTGGACCTGCGCGAGCTGCTGGCTGCGTCCGTTCTGGCCGCAGTCCGTGGCGGCGACGAGGTCCGGCGCGTCCGCGAGAGCAACGCCCTCCACGAGAAGTCCAAGGGGAAGACTCGGGAGGGAGCCGAGGAGAAGATGACCAGCGGCGACGTGCTGTCCAACCGCAAGATGTTCTACCTGCTGAAGACCGCCTTCCCCAGCGTCCAGGTGGGTGCTGACGGGGCCCCCGAGCCAGGGAAAGGGACCCCGCGCTGCCCTTCTCTAGGCAGTTCTGGGATGGGCGTCCTCTGGGGTCCATCTTCCAAACGAAGACATTACGGTCAAACTGGCAGCTCCCGAGGGGACACGAGCTCTGGGTTCCAGTGCAGGCGACGGGCTGAGAATGTGAACTTCACCTCCTGCCTCAGTCTCTCCTGTAAAATGGAGGTTGGCAGAGGATCCCAAGTTCCTCCTGCTCCAGCCGCCCGTGGTTTTGCTGCTGGCAAGGGCGAGACTGTTAGAGTGCACGTTTTCTGGCAGGCTTGCCAGCAGCTAACTAAAGGCCCAAGCTGTACAAGCCTTGCTGCGGAGCTGTGGATATGTAGGGCATTGGGCGGCGTGCTCACCAATGGTTCTAACTGTATTCTTATCGGAACCCACCTAAAGAGATCTTTCATGGAAGCGCTTGGAAGTATACTCCCATTTTCTGCATCTCATACAGGACCTTCTATCCTAACCTGGTACTTGAAGATTGAAGATAAACATTTACCCCAGTGAATTTAAGAGTTAGCCAAACGTTTGTGTGTGTGCTTTGTTTTGTTTTGTTTTTTTTTGAGTGGGGCTCTGGGGAAGGTATTTATATTTTCCTAAAGGGACCCAGGCATTTTAGATGTGTCATTAATACGTTTTCAGTTAACCATTTCAATAGAACTACCTTTGAATTGAAAAATATTTTTATTTATTATAGTTTCAGAAGAAGAGTTCAACACACTGTAGTAATACCTTATTAGTATTTTGTCTTAAATCACCTAACTGTAGGCTTGGCTACTGGGAAGGAAAGTGGCTTAGAATATCATTGTGTAGAATATGATTTAGTAGGTAAACAGAGAAATCTATACCCAGGTTAATTTGGAAGATACTTGACCTTCTTACTCTTGTTTTTGGAAGATTCAGTTATTGCTGATTTATAATTATCTATCTTTTGTAACACTCCCTCCATGTCTAATATATTAATGCTTTGATTTTCTGCTTTTGTTACTTTCCTTTCATTTAGTTATTTTGTTAGCTAGAAGGACCATTGGCTAGCTGCTGGGTAACAGATGTAACAGACATTAGTAGAACTTTTTTCAACTGTCTTTTCAAACAAAGTACAGAACATTTCCAGTTTCTTTTGTTCTACTGTGCTTTACCATCACAGATGATACACATCTCTTTGGGCATTTAGTATGTAAAATGTGCTTGTGAGATTTTTGCACTTCTCTACCACACTGCTCTCTTTGACTTTGTGAAAAAATCGGAAAGTTGTAAATATAAGTAGTTACAACAGTGCTGATAGTACTAATCACAGTGTATACCATTTGTCCAGATACTGGCCACACATGTCTTCATTTGATATGCAGAGTTCATTTATGCCTATTTATTAGACCTGAAATCTGATATTGATAACATTAAATTCTTTCATTTCTGTGGATTATTTTATTCATTCTTATATCTTTTGCTTAAAAACAAAAAATACAAATTCTTAGGAAAAGCATTGCATTGTAAATGCTTCAGAGCAATAATAGTGAGACATAAGAAGCAGGATTTAATTTCTTTTATGGGCAGAGACAAAAATATTATAAAATATGGGGGAGGGCATTTGTGCATGTAATTCATTCCCCAATCCACATTTGTCATGGGTAACTTCCACAGAACCTTGCATACGCCTTTTACCTTTATTTGCAAATTCTAAGGGAACAACTAGCAAGGGAAGTAAGCTGTATGTTATTGAACATAAAAGTTCAGCTCTTGGAATTGTAGATGTTTCTGCTTTAGTCCAAAGTTTTTCTGTTATTAGGACTATTTGAATGACTGCTGTGTGTACATCTTTCATGTTTATATTGGATGGTGACAGATGTAAGAGTAGGTTAGAGTTGGTGTCAAGTTGAGCCATCTCCTTTTGTCCCTGCATGCTTAGGCTAGAGGACAGATTTGGGCTCCTGAAAGAAGTAGAGACCTCTAGATTCTTTCTTCTTTTTACCTCCCCTCCCCTATCACCTAGAAGCACACTCTTCAATGTCTGATTACTTTTGAATCCTTCTATCTCTTTTGGGGGGTAAGGAGCTTAAATAATATTTCACTGAATTTACTTCTTAGTGGAAAATGAATCCTGAAAAGCCACAGTTAGCCTTCTTTTCTCCTACTACCTTGAGTAAAGGGTAGAGAACTGTTTTCTTTCCCCCGCTATTTCCCCATGTAATGTTAATCTCTCAGTAAAGGATATGCAAGAAATACCTCTAGAGCAGAGGTTCCCAAGCTTATTTGGCCTACTTCTCCTTTTTTAGGAAAAAAAAAATTCCTTAGCTGCCCCTTATAGCAATTAAAAACTTTTTGTGTAATAGCCCATAATCCAGGATAAAACTCAGGTATCTGGGTTTACAGCTCCTCTTGGATCCTTCCAATGCCCCCCAGGGAGTAATATTACCCACTTGGGGGAAATCATGTTCCAGAGAAGGGGTCCTCAAACTTTTTAAACAGGGGGCCAGTTCACTGTCGCTCAGACCGTTGGAGGGCCAGACTATAGTTTTTGAAAAAAACTATGAACAAATTCCTATGCATAGTGCACATATCTTAATTTGAAGTAAAAAACCCAAAACGGACAAAAACACCTGGCAGGCCGGGTAAATGTCCTCGGTGGGCCGCAGTTTGAGAACCCCTGCTCTAGAGTGATTCACTTGGGGCAGCTTTACCTCTCAAGGGATATTGACGATCTGGAGACATTTTGGATCGTCAAAGCTTGTGGGAGGCAAAGTGTGCTGTCAGCATCTAGTAGGGAGAGAGCGGGTAAACATCCTGAATGTACACGTCAACCCACATAACAAAGATCTGGCCCGATGTGTTCATATGGCCCAGGCCTAAGGACCTGGAGCTCAACTCTCTTTCCCTTTTAGCAGTACTCCTCGGAAGAGAAGCGCTAGTCCAGACCAATTGCTGGCCCATGTTGATCCTAGTCAACTTTCTAACGCCTAAGTTGAGTCACAGTTTCCTTTTTCGTAACAAAGAGATTATTACAGTAAGATTAGTGCAAACAAACGCATCGTAGGCAGAGAAAAAAAAAAAGTTTTAAGGAAAAAGCCCAAGTGAGAGGAGGTGTGGTAGTTATAGTAAGTTGCTAAGATTTACATAGGAAAATTTCTGTGAAAGTAATTTAAAAAGGAGGTAACGGCTGCAATATGAAGCACTTTCATGCTGCCAAGCTCAAACGAGTTTGGTCCTGTTCTTTAGTTTAACCCGATTGCTCAGAGAACCAGATTTGACTCATTTTCCTTGAGGCCTTCCGTATTCAAACTTTTGGGTTTATACATATAGGGGTACCTGTACAATGGGCAGACTCTTGCACTGAAGGCGTATGAGATAGAGTCTAGGCACTGGGAGAGTTATCCCCAGTTAGTTTTTATTAGTAAAACTTTATTTTGTCTTAAAGTATAGAAGTCTTAACTAAAGTATACTTTTAACTATGAGGATTTAAATGCTAGAGTTTAAGTAGATGCTTGAATTAGAGCTTATTTGGAAGGGGGAAAACTAGGTGCAGGGAGACTAAGAGTCTATTTTGAGTGAGAAAGAATATGCTTTGAATTGAGTTATGGTTATATGGAAGATGGATGCAGGAAGAATGTGAGAGAATTTTTAGGCACTAAGATGTATCACAGTGACGTCTGTTTCTGGCTTCTGCATTGGTGTGTCCTTAGTGATGAGGGGGCTACACAATGTGATAGTACGTTAGACGAGTACCGTCTTAAGGTTTAAGTTTGAATTCCTTGTTATGTATAAAGAGAAATGGGTCTGAAGTTCTGAAAAGTATGAGTGGGAAATACAAAGTTATGAGTCATCAGTATTCTTATGGTAATGGAAACTGGTTGTGGATAGGGTTGATAGAGAATATTGTGTGACAGGTGATAAACAGGGTCCAGGACTGAAGAAGATCTGTGGTACTTCTCAATTGGGTAGAGAGCATGAATCTGTAAGAAAACTGAAATAAAATTGCCAGAGAGGGAGAAACAAACCTCGAAGTATGTGGAGGCATGGTAAGAAAAAACAGGAACATGGTCAGCACTATCAGCAGCTACTGAAAGATCAAGGAAAATAAAGACAACGATTTATCAAAAATATTATCAGTAACCTTTATTCAGAAGTTATTCTGTGTTAAACTCTGTACTAAGTTTTTCTTTAAATCACTTCTGTTTCGTTGAGTCATATTTAGAACCCCATGCTGTTTGGTGCCATAGAGTCAGGTCTAACTCATGTGGATTTCATATACAAAAGAATGAAATACGACCTGGTCCTGCCCATCCTCACAATTACTACATTTGAGCCCATTATAGTAGTCACTTTCTCAATCCACATAGTTGAAGTTCCATCTCTTTTTTTACCGCCCCTCTACTGAATATGTTTCTTTTCCAGGGATGGGTCGCTTCTGATAACATGTTCAATGTACTTGAGACAAAGTCTCACCATCCCCACTTTTAGAGAACAGTCTGGCTATACTCCTTCCAAGATAGATATGTTTATTCTTCTGGCAGTCCATGATATTCCATTATTCTTTGCTAACACCATAATCATTCAACCAAGAACCAAACTCACTGTCATCTACTCAATGCCAACCCATAGGAACCCTGTAGGACAGGGTAGAACTGCTGTTGTGAGTTACCAAGGCTGTAACTCTCTACTGGAGTAGAAAACCCTGCCCTCTTTTGGACCTTGCAGTTAGCAGCCTAATGCATAACCACTACGCCACCAGGGCTCCTTCCGTAATTCTTCAGGCAGTGGAAAATACCATGGCGTGGGTCATATGCATGTTAGTCTCTCAGGTGACGTCTTTGCCCTCATACATTTTAAATAGGACTTTTCATGGTATATTTGCCCAATGTAGTACATTGTTCGATTTCATGACTGTTGTTCACGTGGGCATTGATTTTGAATCCAAATAAATGCAATTTTGACAGCACCAGTCTTTTCTCCATTTGTCCTGA